TAGGTGCACTGGGGTGCGGATTGTTGTTGTTGTTGAACGAGTGTGTTGGGGTGACGATCTCTCGGTAGCACGGCGGATTGCTCGTGCCTGCTTGATGGCAAGAGTCGAATGTTGTGGTCGTAACGAGCGAGTGGAAAGCTGGTTATGCAGCCGTGTCGTGGTTGCCAGGAGAGACGCGCGGCGAATCGGCGCTTGTTAGTCGCTGGGGCAAAAGTTGGAATTAGGCTGGTAGAAGTGGCGGGTAGCGGCTCTCCTCTTTAAGCGTCGAGAGAGCTGTCGGCGAGTACACTACACAGCCTCAACGCAATGAAACGAGAGGCAATGTAGAAGAAAACGGACACGGGGGGAAGAAAGGGTGGGTGAGTGAGCTACAGTGTGGAATGCGGAAGGGCAGGCAAAGAGCTTTTTAGCAGCTTCCCCTGAAAATGAAAGGCACGACCGCCAAGCTAGCCTAACGCCGTCAGAGACGCTGCGCATGGGTCCCCTTCGCTAGCATTCACTTCCCGATATTGAGTCGCCCCTCTAAAAACGGCATCGGAGATCATGGACATATGCACACTACAAAGATGCACGATTGCGCTCACTCGAGCTACATGTGCTCTGATCTGCTGTTCCCGCTGCTCCTCCCAGCCTCTCTGCTCTTGTCTCCCAGGCCGGTGGCGCGAGTTTTCTGGGAATGGAAACCAGACTACCATGGGATCTCCGATCTGGTTGCATATCGATAATACCTTTTCCCGAAGATACCAACAAAGACATTGCCCCCTCTGCTTGCCGGCAACTGGTTCACATGCACCATTGCTTGCGGTGAGTTGGCTGACAGCTGGATGCTACTACTCTCCCTTGCCTTCCTCCGCTTCTGCTTGCCTTTCATGCTCGTTGCATTCGTCATGGCCTTCACGTCACGACTGTTCCCCCCCAGCCATAGACAGAGGCTGCACCGCACGGTGCCAGAGGCCCGCGCTGATCAGACAACGACTAGCGACCCGGCAGACCAAATCATTCCCGCCATCTTCGCCCGCTGCTCGACCGGCACGATAGCGACGATAAGTTTCTTATCTGACATCCAATCGCGACGTGGCGCGCTTCCGCAACGCCCTAGCCCTAGCTCATCTTGAGGTCAACGGTGCTTGGTGTCGCAATGCATAGGGGGCTGACGGCCGCCAGTCGCTCCTAGTGCTTCTGTTGAGTCTGCCACCGCACCCGAGCACACCGGATACTCAACGCCCCCCAGTCCTTTTGCCCGTCGCGCTTGTATGTTTTGCTTTAGACGTCCCAAAGCCGCTGTCACTTTGCACAGATGTGATTCTCCTGAGTCGTGCATGAACCTGAACGACACCGCACTATGACGGAATCCCTCACCGCACGCAAATCAAATCGACATGGGCCCTAGCATAAGTGAGCTATATTAGGCTGCCCGGTTTCCAACGTCGGTTGCATGGCAAGGCAAATGAGCCGGCTACGGCTCCAGAGCGAACAACTTGGAAGCTACCATAGTAAGGCTGGGCTGGCAGTTAAGCTCATGATTACGTCTGCATGCAAACTTTGTACATGTTACTCTCTAGCTTACAACAGCCCTATCGATACATAAATAATCGCGCACCATCCTTGACAGGCACCGCAAGCCATGAATGCAAGCATTACTCTCAAACGCTGTCGGCGGCGCCAGCTGCCGGCCCGAAGCATTGCCGCCATGCCATCGTGATGACCAATAGTCGCCTGGGCCCGCGTCGCAGACAGCGAACTCCAGCTCAACTGCATCTGTTCGTGTGCGCATCATATTCCATTGGCCGCCTCATGGCTCGAGCGACTTTGCCACACCTACGCCTACGTTTCAGCTGCACATACTGCGTGTCGTGTGCCTCCCGCGCGTCAAGTGCCGCTCTCGGTGAAACTCCACGAGGCTGTGCAACCAAGCATAGACGACCTGGCCTTTGTCCATACTCACGAGATCCCCACGGTCATGATCCGCAGCCTCGACTTCCGCCGAACTTCTCGTGTATTCTCATACGACGCACCGGGACCGTTCGGCACGCGTCCCTTGACATCTGAAGAGATGCACTTCAATTTAGCAACATGATCCGCAGTGGGGCATCAGGCGGCTTCTTGGTGGGGTACACGAAATTGGGTGTACGTATGCGTCGAGACCACGATTCTCGACTCCGAGCCGCGCTGACAATTCGCAACTACCATGATGACTTTTAAAAGTGTTTTGAAAACAGGCCGACTTTCGCGTTAAACATATGGTCAGATGTCGATTATCAACATGACTTCTTGACAGTTGCTGTTGGTGCAATAGGAGCATAGATGGTCTCGAAGGCAGGCGCTTGGACCAGTAATTGCGAAACAAGCCTAGTATCAGGGGTACAGGTGAACCTCGCTGATCCCTCTTGGAATGCTTGGTTCACCATACATTTCTTCACTCATTGTGCCTCAGAGTCGTTTCTACACTCACTTTTCTGTTTTACCAGTCTGTCTTTACGTCCTTGAATAATTCGTTTTTTCGCATACAGCCTCATTCGCTGTTGCGCCACACTCTTTGATCTCATTGCGTTTGCTCAAACAACTTCTCTACACTCTCTTAACCGTGATTCTCGGCGAATCAACCCAAGCTCTCGCCAACACCACCACAGCTCTTGGAAGCAGTCTTATACTATTATTACCAATATGCGCGGAATTTTTGCTACAGCGGCCCTACTCGCAGGCGTCCAAGCCGCCGTTGACCCCATTGTCATCAAGGTATGATGTCGTGCGATGGGTGCGACTTTCATGTCTAACAATGCCTAGGGTCAGAAGTTTTTCCACAAGAACAGTGGTGAACAATTGTAAGAGACACCAAGACATCAAGATGAAGCCAAGCTAATAACTAGATAGTTTCATGAAGGGTGTTGCATACCAACGTACGTGCCCAGTACTATCCTAATCGCATAGCACACTACTTACACAACGCAGAGGAAGTCAACTCCAACTCCACAGCCGCCTCAACCGGCGAGATTGACATTACCGACCCCCTTGCCGACTCTTCAGCATGCAAGCGCGACATTGCGCAGCTCGAGAAGCTTCAGACCAACACCATCCGTGTGTACGCCATTGACCCTAAGAAGGATCATGAGGACTGTATGACACAGCTTGCAGACGCCGGCATCTATGTCGTAGCCGATCTGTCTGAGCCAGGAATGTCGATTAACCGTGACGACCCCGGTTGGACTGTCGAACTGTACGACCGCTACACCAGCGTCGTTGACGAGATGATGAAGTACGACAACACCCTCGGTTTCTTTGCTGGAAACGAGGTCAGCAACCAGCCCAACAACACCGTTGCCAGCGCTTTCGTCAAGGCTGCCGTCCGGGACACCAAGGCCTACATCAAGAGCAAGAACTACCGCGAGATTGGTGTCGGATATGCTACCAATGACGATGCTGATATCCGTGAGAACATGGCCAATTACTTCGACTGCGGCGACTCTGACAGTGCCATCGATTTCTGGGGTTACAACATCTACTCGTGGTGCGGTGACTCCTCATTCACCGAGTCCGGTTACGATGTCCAGACCAAGAACTTTGAGAAGTACAATGTCCCAGTCTTCTTCGCTGAATACGGTTGCAACACTCCTCGCCCTCGTAAGTTCACTGAAGTCAAGGCTCTTTATGGCAAGGACATGACCGATGTCTGGTCCGGCGGTATTGTCTACATGTACTTCGAGGAGGAGAACGAGTTCGGTAAGTTCACTGTTTGTCCGACGTATGATGCTTCTAACAATTGTCAGGTCTTGCTTCCATCAAGAACGGCAAGGTTGAGACCAACGAGGACTTTGACAACTTGTCCAAGCAAATCGCCAAGGCCACTCCCGTCGGCGTCAAGATGTCTGAGTACAACCCTAGCAACACTGCTGCCGCCTCGTGCCCCAAGGTCACATCTGGCAAGTGGGAAGCCGAGTCTGACCCCCTCCCTCCTGTCGCCAACGCCAATCTTTGCTCGTGCATGATGGAGACTCTTAGCTGCCAAGTCGCCGACGACACCGAGGAGGAGGATTTCGGCGACATGTTCGGCTTCCTCTGCGGTGAGAAGGATGGCGAGTACTGCCAGGGTATCAACAAGAACGCCACTGCCGGTCCCTACGGTGTCTATGGCATGTGCTCCAGTCGCGAGCAGCTCTCTTTTGCTCTTAACGCCTACGCTAAGAAGGTCAGCGGTGGCTGCGACTTCAAGGGCCAGGCTACCACCAAGAAGGCCGTTGCTAAGCCCACTGCTTCCGGCTGCTCTGACCTTCTCAAGGACGCTGGTGTTGACGGCACCGGTTCCGTCTCTGGCGCTGCTGCCAAGGCTACCGGTGGTGCTTCTGACTCCAGCTCTGCATCTGGCTCCGCTGGTGCCGCGTCTGGTCTCTCTGCTCCTCATTTCACCAACGGCGCTTTCGGCATGGGCCTGTACGTTGTTGCCGCTGTCGCTTCCGGAATGGCCATGATCTTGTTGTAAGATCTAGGATTGAGTAGTAGACGTGGCAGAGATGGCTCGACTTGACATTTATCTTGCATAGTTTGCGTTGGGTTGCGCTTATTCCCCTTGGGTTCGCTGGCATCATCTTGAATGTATGTCCCAGAAGAGTACTGTGGTTTTCTTTGGCTTAGGTGAAATTATAATAGTTTTACTATACTTTCTGCATGGTACACATTGAAATGAGACCTTAACATGTTCGAAACATGATACTGGAATGTTTGAAAATCTGGCTTAATAACATGTTGGGGAATTGTGTCTACATACAACCTCAGGGAAATGGCTAATTTTGCAATTATTTGCAATGCGTTTTGGTCTGGTAGTTCGCGCACGACACGAAAGTTTGTTGATGTACGAAATCATAATTGATCAGACTCTTGAAAACCAGACCATTCGCACATCACGCTGTCACATTAGATATCAGATTAAAAAACATTTACACTTTGATGTTGATCGCTACCACACTGTATGGTTGCTGACACGCGTATGTGTTTGATGCGAGAAGCCATCAATACCTTTCCACCAGAAACACTCTCCGCTCGCCATCGCCCATATCCCCCAACATCTTTGCTTCCTCGCCCTTCATATACAGATATGCCTTCAAAAATGCTGGATCCAAAGCCTCGTTAAGTGGCATATCCGCTCTCAGCGATGTGACAGCTTCTTGCATGCTTCTCGGCAACCTTCTCATAACACCAAACTCAGCCCGCATCTGCTCGTCCATGGTCGAAGGGTTAACTTGGAGGTCTTGTTCCGGGAAAGAAGGTTCGTTCGCAGCGAGACCGAGTAGACCAGCGGCGAGAACAGCAGAAAGAGCAAAGTACATGTTTGCAAATCCGTCAAGACAGCGAAGCTCCCAATGACCTGGAGTTATGCGTCGGAGTGGCGTTTCACGGTTTTGGGTTCCCCATGCTACCTTTTTCCAAGTGTCAGTTTAGTTATACATCCAGACAATGTGGTGAAGGGGCAGTAGGTATCATCGAAGTACAAAACAGAGGACGTACCCATGTTCCGCCTGTCCAAGAATTTTCCGTTACACGTTCGTAACTGATTTCCTCGGGCATGCTAAATGCACAGATGGCCGGCAAGTGCTTCAAGACACCTCCAACGAAAAACTGCATATCACGCTCTGGTGGGTGCAAGCTGATGTGCGCATGAGCCGCCGTACCAATGCCTTCAAAGGGCTTGGGATGAAGCGTCGCACGTAGCCCATGCAGACTAGCTATTTGAGCGATGACCTGTCTGGCCTGGAGAAGCGTGTCAATTGCAAGGAGAGGAGGATGGGGCGGAAGTACGAATTCATACTGTCCCGGTCCTGATTCGGCATGGAATTGCTGGACCTCAATACCCATGTCCTCAAGTGCCAGAACGATTTCGCTAAGGAAGGGAAGCTGAAGCCACTGTTCTGGTGTTAGTGTGCCCCATGCGTGGGTTTTTGTCAGAGGTGCTAAATTCGGGCATATAAAGTCAGTATATGTCGCATATGCAGTTTGTATGGGTATACTGACAGTAGGGCTCAGCTTCGAAAGGGTTGGTTGATGCCGAAGGGGGGTTTCGGGAAAGAAACGTGACTTCAATCTCAAAGCCGATAAGAAGCGTTGTGGCGTAGTTGTACTGGAGGTCATTGATAAGCGTTTCAAGGTTGTTCCGCGGGTCTTCTGGAAGCGCAGAACCATTTTCCGTGCGCCAGTAACTGAGTACTGTTGCAGCGGGCAGCGGATCTTTGTTGTGCGTTCTGCGGAGAGAACGTAAGTCTGGCTCGACGTATATCTGGCCCGTCGTATTTGTGACGGGCGTTATGTGGTCATTTTGAAGGGTGCCCATGTTTCCCTGGGATATACCGATACGTTCCCCTTCGGTTATCATGCGAGTAAACTCCTTGATGGGAACTATGCGGCTACGGATTGTGGCCATGTAATCAAGCCATTGTACGTAAATGAACTTCACTGTGGGATTCTTCTCCTTGAAATCGTCAAAAAGCTGAATATCGTAGACTTGTCTGAAGATCGGTGTATGAGGTCAGTATTTGTCTCACATATAGTTCGTACAGACATTACTTACGGTGCCTTTGGCGGTGGAGGGAAAGCTGGCTGTGTGTAAGGAGAGACTGATCGAGTAGCTTGTGCATTGGAAGCTGAGGACCGGCTGGGAATGCCCATGGTGGGTATTGGTGTTACTGCTGGAGACTGATAAGGCGAAGCTTCGACTGGCTTCGGGTTGTATGTGAGCTGCTTTGGATCTGCTTGTACTGTTTCATCGAAGAAAGCCTCATAGCGTAAGTCGTATAGCACATTGGAATTGTTGAACATGATGTCTTTCGTCATGCCAATCGCTTGATGCGGTGTTAGGTCGCCTTTCTGGATGTACTCTACGAGTAGCTGTATCAATTAGCGTGGACAAGCAGGCGATACGGTGCATAAATAAACTCACATCGAGCCAGACTTCGCGGAACTGTTTATTGGCAAGCCAATAGGTCTCTGGAAACCAGTGCCCATCCGAAGAATACAAGAGTTTACTGGCCGGGACAAGTTCCATGGATTGTCGTAGAATCGCTTTCTGGCCATCCCTACTGGCCATTGGGAAGACTTCGCCAATATCAAGGTACACGTGCCGATATACAGTTGCGAGGTAGCCGGCTTCGCGCGTATACGGATAGGCAGAATGGAGAAGTACAAATGGTACTTGTGGGTAGTTTTCAATCAATGGCTGGAGGAAAGCAGGGTTGGATTCAAGAAGGCTAATGTCATTATCTCCAAGACCAGTATGTAGCTGAAATGGCTTCGCAAGAGAATCAGAATGAGGTAGTCGCTCCGACAATATCTCTAGGGTACGCAAAACGAGATAGTCATTCAGATGCTTCTTCTCAATACGGTAATTGCGTTTGCGAATGCAGCTCTTAACGTAGCGTTCGAAAGGGTGTCCAACGGTTTTTGCAGCTTCCTCATATTCTGGCTCAATGTCGAGCCCTGTTCGGTAACAAATGACAGATTTGAACCCAGCGACGTTGTCGTCCTCAACGGCCTCTTGAATCTCGCGCTCGAAGTCCTCAGTGAAGTTTGTCCAGGTCTGTGGTAGGAACTTGGTCTTCCCCAGGTCGTCTTCTGATGCGTCCTGAACAAGGTTCTCCATTAAGCGCTCAGCGACTGTCTCAATACGTACAATGCGCTTACTGGGTGCCTTGGTATAACGATCATGATAATTGTAGGGAAAGACCTTTTCTGGTCCGGCAAGTCCGTCATCGATGAGTAACGCGTGTACATTCTCGAAGCATCGCTGATGTAGACGCTCGGAATTGCTTCGAACCCATTCAACCCTCTGTTCCAGAATGTCCTCCCAATCTGCGTCTTGGCCACATTCGTAAAGTTGGCCTAGCTGTCTAGCTGCTCGCAAATGAGGAAGGGATTTGAAAGTATCTCTTAGAGCTCTTCCCTGGGCTTCCGTAGTTATGGTCTCGAAAGGTATCGTATCTGCTTGGTGGGGCAGAATGAGGTTGTGTGCGTGGTTATCGATGAGGGGATAGTTGTTGATAACATGTCGTAATTGTTCGATAGTAGGCCTAGCAGAGGAGCTAGGCTGATCCATTGTGAGCTCCTGGGACTAGGTGCTAGCCGCTCTTCTAGAATGGAGCCACTCCCTCTGATGTTAGCCTTTGTCGCAATTTGTGCCGCGCTTGTGTGAGGAAAAGGACTGCGATATTTCGCGTGGTGGTAGTTTTCCGGCCGCGTTCTTGTCTCAGAACCAAAAAGATGATGTATTTATTCGCACTCTTGCACTTTCGTGCGTTACAGGCATAATCCAAGTCGAACGAATGCGTTGTTCGTGAGGTATGTTCCAAGGTCAGTCCGATGACGTCGGTCAAGCGGGAGTGTTAGCGCAACCTTCAGAATCAATCTCCAGTCAGTCGCATCGATTCTGTCCAGTGACTTGGTGTTTCTTTTGATGCCAAACACACGATGATGTAGGATCCGGGAGTGGGGAGAGCGGTGGTCCGAAGTGGGGTATATTTCCAAGGTTTGATCTTGTGAGCGTCAGCAGCCCACCTGTTACGTCCTTAGCTGCACTAGCCAGAGTATTCGACTCTTCTCCAGAGATGGACATACGATGCAACCTAAATATCATAGAAATGGAAAATAGGTTCGCAGATTGGTCTTCGCACTTCTAACACAGTATGTACGGACTATGAAGTATGCTTGTAAGAGTATGAGCGTCAGGTCAATTGCAAAATGTATCTTATAATGTGTTATCTATCGGGTATACGTGTTCTCGCGCCTTGCTGAGTATGCAACATCGTCTAACTTCCCCCTGGCCCCAGCATGTTCAGCTGTTTCAACTTGCTCACCATGGCCTTCGCCTTACGATCACCACGAGCGGCCACATGCACTTGCTTGGCATGCGCGATCACGTCACCTCTCCAGCGCCAAAAAAGATTCTCAATCTGCTTTGCTACACTCTCGCCTTCGACCCTAGCAACCAACTGACATACCCAGATCAATCTCCTCGCGCTAATGAATCTATGCTCCACCATAGGTCGAACGATGGCGGCTCGGACTACGGCTTTGGTAAACAGAGGACCGATTGGCAGAGAGTACGACTTGAGGTAGTTGTAAAGAGTGTAGATGGAACGCCAAGTCGCCCGCTGCGATCGAGTGGCATCGAGGGAGTAGTGGTGAGCTAATTGATGTATAAGGACTGTACGTTGAGAGGGTGCGATGTTATTGGTAAGGTTCGCATAAATTTGTGGCAGAGCGTGATCGTTCGAAGCGGAGTCAAGGATTGCAGTAAAATCCCTACTGGCTTTTAGAGTTTCGGTCTCCTTCTTGATCTTCTCTTTTGTCTGTTTTTCGATGTTGACGCCTTCAATCGAGACGCTTGATTTAGCGATCCTTCTTAGAGACTTGAGTATATCCTGACATATTTGTAACGCGAAGGCCTTGTGTCCACTTCGGTCGAGCGTCTGAGCGTTCATGTGTTGTCGAAGCAAAGATAGTTCTGCAGTAATGCGAGTTTTCATGCTCGATACTCTGTCCAGTAGAAATTCATGCTTCTCCAGGGCAATGAGGAATCTGTGCATGGAGTATAGATTGGCATGCGATGCGAAAAGATCAGCAGCAATGCGCAATATTGGCTCATATGGCAGAGAGTCTCTACGCATGTGCGAGAAGATCATCACTACATCCTCCTCGATTTGTACCGTGCCTTGTTGTTCTAGCGCAGAGACAGCAGAGGCACTGACAACCCGCCACAAGCTTTCCTTGTGTTTGGCAAACTCGGGTTGCCGTTGTGCCATTCGAAATACGAGAGCATAGAGCACTGTGTGCAGTCGCACTACGCTCGAATTATTGCTCTTGAATGCATGCTCAACCACTTCCACAAAGGCGGCGTTCGTATAACCGGTATCAGTGTAGCGAACATTGAATCTTTTATCGAGATTTTCGAGGACAGCCAGCCACACATTCAGACGGTACCAACATGTCTCAACTGGCAGCCGGCTTTTCCGATCAACGACTTCGACGAGAGACCGCGTGATTGATGGGAGTTGTAGTAGAAGCTGCTCTCTAGGCAAGAAAAGGAGCATCTCCTCAACAAATGCACAAGGTGAATGGCCTTGAGCAGCGCTTGCGACTAAAACTTTGATACTTTGGGCTGCGTTATTGCTGCCAGCCAGTTCAGAAAGCAGCGATTTCTTAATGGCAGGTGCCTCAATCTTGTTTGCAAGTATACGCAAGTCGTCTACAACGCCTTGTATGGCTTTTGTGCTGCGTAAACAGCTCTGATAGGTTAATCGAACTAACGTGAGTAGCTCGGTATCCTGTGATAAACTTGTTGAAGCTGCAGCAGATGTGGCTGCTCTAACCATCTTGACATATAGGCGGTGATAGACCCGAGGAGCATGATATGCACCAGAAGCCTCGAGGCACCTTAGGAAGTCAAGGCTTTCAGGCGTATAGGTGGGAGGGACATCGAAGAACCTGAGGTTGGAAAGGATGCGCGTAGGATCCCAACGAATGCTTGTCAGATGCTTGACCACCATAACGTTGTAGGCCCAAGCGTTACTGTCAGCTGGTCGACATGATATCCAGGCCTGATGTGAGGATCGACAGCGTTCGGCCGTGGACAGAGCTTCTGCGTTTGAAATCTGTGTCGCGAAATTGTTGAAATGCGTCTCCGCGGTCACAGCATCTGTGCTGATTCCTCCTAGCCGGCCTACTCTGCCCTGCAGTTTGGTCTGCGCATTGTTCTGCGAGAAGGGATACGGTGCGCCGAATGGGAATGCACTAGTTGTAGACGGTGCATGTTCAGTAGATATTGCGTCGGATTGTGCTATTGGCAAGCTTGGAACATGAGGAGCTACTGCCAGTGTTAGCTGAGGTGATGTGGTGAGGCGGACTGCATATGCGTACATGTGTCCAATGGCTCTACGTAGTGTTGTAGAGATGGCGCTTCATATCTCCAAGTGGGTTGAGTGTCTTTGCGGAAGCCGAAGAGCGCACCGAGACTGAACAGCGGCGAAAAGTTTTCCTGGGGATAGAAATTGGCTGAGACGGTCATCCGGCGTTTTGCTGCCCTCCTCCTGGCCTCCAATGGTCCCGGAACATGGCTGCCATGGCGCTTCTGTTGCGGGCACGAACTGGGTAAAAATCGACCAATGGCATCGGTGAGGAGGTTGTCAGAGATCCATATGTGCTGAGGAGGGGAAGATTGGAGCGATTGCACTGCTCGACGGCAGGCAATGGGCGGACGGCGCATCAAGCGTGGCTGGTCATCGGAGGGCCTGGTGAAGCTTGGTTCGACAGTGAAGTCGCATCCCAATCAGGAAGTGGGAGATGCACGTGATCATGATGACTAAGACAAGTACAGCTGGGCAGAAGCAGGCCACTCAGCCCTGGAGCAAGCTTGGGATTCGGTACCAGTACAGGCCGGCGACTTGGCATTGCCTGCAACAAACCTGGGGAATCTTGACACGAGCATGAATGTTGGGGCAGAGTTCACACGACACGGTTGCGTCCGCTCATGTCTCAGGTTACCCAAGCATTCTTGACGTCTGTCTAATTCAGCCGTTGAGCGCAGAGGCGTTGCGCAACGGTTAATGTTGAATTGCAGAGCCACTTAATCACAGAGGAATAGTCGTGCATGTTTTATTTTTTCTCGGAGCAGAGTCCTTGCTTCCTGTGGTGGTGCGCTATGCTCATGCTGTATTTTTAAACTTTGAGCACGATAAGGCCGGACCGCGCATGTCTGGACTGAGGTGTTTGCATGTCGGATAGAGCGGACGACGGCTTGCATGCTCCAGAAGTGAGTTAAATGAGATTCCACATCGAGGACACGCGATTCGACCCTCTGCCGCGTCCCCACTCCCGCCTTGGACAGACAAAGGCATTCCCAACAGCGAGGAGTGGAGCGCAAGAACGTTCTCGACCTGCTGTCCGTGGCCAAAAAGCATCGTGCGCGTCCTGGATATCGCAACGTCAGCGATGCCCAGGTGGCCGAGGGCTTTAGACGCTTTCGTGCCTGACCGCGCGGTCCTGGGTTAGTCCTCATCCACCCCCTGCCGTCCCCCGGCAAGCATGTGGCCTTTGGTGAAACACCGACGAGCCAATCACGGCGCCGTTCCTGACACTAGTGGGGCGGCGCTATGCCCAGCGCGGTCGGCATCGTGGCCGGCTGTCGCGCACACGAGAGGCCCTGGACGTGTACCGTGAAGCTGCGCGTGAATACCGCGAGGATAAACTTTGGCACAGGAGATGCGAGGGGTGCCTCAGAGGCAGCATGCAATCTGGATGTGTGTCGAGTGTGCTCTAGGCGGCGTGGGACTCGAAATGCACTGTTGGCGGCAGTCAGACGCAGGCTAATTGCCAAGGCTGGCTCCTGCTCCCTGTTACATGCCTGCCTGTCCCAACTGGGGCGCACTCTCCTTTGCTCTTCACTTGCGATCCACTCTCAGGGCCCGAGCCTCCTCTCGTTTGTCTGCTTCACGTCTGTCAATCGTCGACACCCACAATCGTTTTATCGCTACACTACACTCTTTATCCTGAACCCATCTCCCGTCGATTCATTCCTTTTGCGTCACTTTACGGGGGTACTTTCCAAGGGGCAGCCGACAAGTTTCATCGCCTCGACTTCTGTCACGACGCCCCCCGTTTCAACACCACCAGACGGCCCTGGGCATCGTTGACCGAGCCTCCAGTTCAGCTCCATCGTGCCTGTTGACTGTTGAACGACGACTCCATCTCCGCCTTGAACGCCATACTCATCCAGCCCGACACCCACGGCCAACTGCTCACAGTCACTCACCTCGACCACTACGCACCCGCACCCGCACTGCCGGACCAACCCACGCCCGCAAGGCCTTGCATGTGTCCACGCCTTGGTGTATAGGACTCCAGTGCGACACACACAAATCGGGAACATCGACCCACGCGCACTACTAACCAAACCAGCACATCACCACCATGGTCTACATCACATTCGCCTCCGTCTTTGCGGCGGCCTCGATGGTCATGATGGCCGCCGCTGCCGACGAACAGCCGACAGCAACCAAGATCAAGAACCCCATCACCACACCAACAGTCACCCTGCCAGCAAGTGCCATGACCAGCATCGGTTGCTTTGAGACCTCAACCCCACTCGAGAACCACGGTCCATACGGTTTCCAGTCGCCTGGTAACTGCCAACTCGTTTGCCTGGAGCAAAACAAGGACGTCATGGGCCTGTCCAACGGCAAGGAATGTTGGTGTGGTGACGAGATACCCGCCAAAGATTGGCAGACTAAGAACGAGACATGCGGTACCCCCTGTGCCGGCGACGATACGTCGCTATGTAAGCTGATCGTCTCTTCTTATGCCGCTCGGTACTGACAGTGCATAGGTGGTGGAAAGAACGTCTTGTGGGTCGTTCTCACAGGAAACACTCTGAACCCGGTCGACTATTACGAGCCCGACGTGTCCAGCAGCAGCTCAGCAGCACCAAAGCCGTCGTCTGCTGCGCCAACATCCACCGCTGCCGCCCAAGCATCGGCCACTCCATCCGAGGCGCCCAAGGAAGACGAAGACAGCAAACCAAACACAGTCGCCATCGCAGTGGGTGTAGTCGTCGGCATACTAGCCCTTGCCTCCATCATGTTTGGTGTATGGTTCCTACTGCGCCGGAGACGTCAGCATCAAGCAGAAGAAGACTATCGTCGCAACGCCGCCAACGTGAATGCTTTCGTCAACGGTGGCAAGCTACACACCAGCAACTCGTCCATGAACGACTCTCGTCTGGACCCAAGCTTCGTTGACCGGAGGCAGAGCAACGGCAGTATCGCAGACAACGAGGACTACTCGAGGCGGATATTGAAGGTATGCGATCCATGATGCTGCTTGGCGGAATGTATCCGACTAATCCTCTGTCAGGTTACCAACGTATAAGTGCCTTAGCCAAGGCAATTAGCGCAACACGTGCGCTCTTCACGTCGACCCTTTTACACGACTGGCGTCGCTGACGAATACCTCAATACCCCGACCACGCATACACCTAATCTCCTTCATACATGTCTCGCACCACGATGCGCGCGATCACGCTTTGACGACGAGAGTAAGAAACATCTTGCGATTTAGCCCGTTACTATTCAGTACACGACGGAACCACCATACCGTTGTTGAGACCAGCATTTGACGAGGATAAAGAAAGATTTGTGGCGGCTGCAGCGAAGAATCTTTTCCCCCTCTCTTGTGTTATATCCAAACTTTTCTTTTTTCCTCATCTAGGCGTTTATGGGGTGTTAGATACCGGGCAATTGAATGGGTCACTTATAAACTCCATCCGGCGCACAAGAGCACCACGGTCGCTCCCTTGTCTTTGTTCTTTGTTATATGGACGGTAATTTCGTCCACGCCATTCCTTTACCCTGAGGGCATTAGTTTCTGTCCTGCCGCTCTCTACCCACATGTGTGCTCCTCTTGTCTGTCGCCATGTAGCCACCACCATCAACAAGCACCCCCCGTTTTCTAGCTACTCTATCTACCACCTCCGCCAATCAAAATTACCATAAATCAGTCTCCCTGTCTATCCTCATGCTGTAGCTTTTGCGATCAAGTCTCGCTGGCTTCTAACAACCTCTTCATCACAACACATGACAAGTATTTAGGCACAGCCACACAGACAACGTCATGAATACAGTATGATATCCAGGCCCTGTGCGCCAATATTGCACATGGTTGTGTGTCACACGAGCATTCTCTGTGCACCAGCCACCCCTAGCTACTAGCCCCAACATCTTCAGCCTCAGCCTTGCGCATCACCATTAAAACGTTGCTCAGATACCACCAATAATACGTCGTTTCCTTGCCCACCCCATACTGTTCGCGTCGATCGTCTGGATAATCTTCACCCTTTTCGATGAGGGACCAAGGTCACGCGAATTAGGATTGAAACGCTCCTACAACACAGCAGGAAACACTAGGCTAAGAGCCAGTTGATCAAGGAAACTGAGCAAGTGAGAGCCTGACCGCCTTTTCCCCGCATTCTTCTCGGTAAATGTCGCAAAGAAATGACATGCACGCAAAGAGCCCTCGTTGCCGGAGGTCCGTTGTTTGTGGCTGGGTAAGGTGGAGCAATTCGGTGGATTTCGGCTTTGCTCTTGTTTCACGACCCTCATCCTCCTCGTTTCTCGCTCTCGCCGTGAGGCTGAGGAGGGTACAATGATCTCCCCGAGGTAATGTACAAATTTCCCGACCTGAGAGAGTCAGGTTGCTTCTGTTTTGGTAATCTCTGCTTTTTTCGGCCTTGCGTTGGCTACCTGCGTCGGTGCGCGCAAGCTAGGAAATGAAGGAATTCTGCATTCGAGGGTGGGGAAAGGTCTTGGAACCTAAGCATTTAGACAGACATTGATGGTTTCCATACGGTGCGGATGATACTGACTCTCTGGTACTCGGTACATCAAAGTACAGCCGAGGTGAGGGCTTCTTTTTTTCTTTTTCCTGATGCTTTGAAGTCCTAGGGTTTGAGACTGGACTGAAGCTAATGTCAACGAGCTGGCACAGTCTTCAGCCTGGAAACGCGAATCCGAGTATGCTGAACCATTCAGTATTGGTACTACGAAGTAGCTTGATGTTTCTGGGTTGAGGCCGAACATGTAACCGAAATGTGTCCACCATGTTTTACATCAGCGTGGAGATCAGCAGTAGGCAGTCTTCAATGCTACCAAAGGGCTTCACCAGGCTAGCTGCGTCCATGACGAGTTCACTCGGTAGGCATATCGGACGTATATATGAGATGCAGGGAGCAAGGCATGAAACATATACATGGTGAATATATCGCTTACATGCAGTCTTTGAGTGAATGGTCTTCAATTGTTGAGATCTTTCCATTGAGATTCAAGACAAAATGACATTCAGAATGGATTGTAACAAAATATTAACACAAATTACCATCTCTATGTACTAGTGACGTGTATCACGCTGGGTATCAAGGGATAGAGACGCATGAGCACGTGTGCTCACACGCTCCAAAGAGAGAAAGAATCGCGGAGAAAGGTGTTGCAACATCCATCGCAAAGGTCATCACAAAAAGGCAACCCAGATGTAGACCTGCTCTTTACTAAACCCATAGCCTACCCTTGACCGGCCATTGTTCGTAAGCCCTTATCCTAGTCGTCCGATTCGTATTACTGCATAATCCATGATCCAATTTCGTTCAGTCGTTGCCATTACTTGATCAATTGTACTTCAGAAAAGTTGTGGGCTGCTGCGACGTTGTGGTTCCGGTGGGCATCCTAGCAGCACTCGTGGCATCACCGACAGTCGTCTTGGGATACTCACCCGGAACATGCAGATCACTAACACTGATGTCGGTGTTTATCCGCTTACCCATTCCAGGGTGAACTATCTCGTCTGCAGCATCCACAAGGTCGACTGGAACGGGTCCCCCATTGACAGTCTTGCCAAAGGCAGGGGCGGCGCCGACCTCAGACTCGCCTAAAAAAGACGACGTGGTTGCTAGTGTGTCTGGACTGCTGGTATGATGAGGCTGAGTCTGGCCACTGGAGATGGGTGCGACGATCGGGGCAGATGTCGGCTGCACAGCAGGTGCTGCAGACGGAGCTACGTAGCCAGTATCATCGATCTGGTCAGGGAGGATATGATCCGGATGCCGTTCTGGAACTTGCGTGGGAGTAGCGTCTGGAAAGCCCGCTGCTCGAGACTGGTCAAACGGGTATTGTTGTGTTTGGTCCTGCTGATGTTGGGCATCGAGATGTTGCTGAGCCAACTGCTTCTTCCTGTATGCCTCGTTTGCAAGAACTCCAGTTGCTGCTCCTCCAACAGCAGGTGCCATCCAGTTACCGTAGTTGTTACTATCATGGCGTTGGATAGGTTGAGCATGCTCCAAGGATGGCTGATTGACCGAGGCTGGTTGGACAGGGTAAGTCTGGGGAAGGGGCGCGTAGGAAGAAGGGTCGGTGGTCAGCGGATCATATGGCTGCTGAGTGGGTGGGTATGGATTTACGAAGTTGTTTTGGGGTTGATGCTGGATGGGCTGGGTATACTGGACTGGCTGGACCGGTTCGGGCTGGTAGGGTGCGGTTTGGGCAAGATACATCGGGTGAACCTCCTGTGGGGGACCTCCGGACATGGTTGTTAGATCATTGCCGACCTCTGAACTTCCACTAGATGGCGAGAGAGGCGCTTGTAAGTTACGGTTGACCATCAAATCAGACGGGAATCGCCCACCTGGAGAAGGCCGTGAAGGTCGCGGAGACTGGTCCCGAATGGCCTGTTCCTTCATCGACTGGTTGGCTGAGAATGGGACTGCATCTGCCTCGTCTTCTTCTAGACCGCCATCAGAGCTCGCTGAACGGGCGCTGCCAGCACTGGTGCTCCTGACGCTTGCATGGCGACGAACAAAGGCATTGCGCTCCTCTCCACTCTTCTCGGTCAAGGCCTTGATATCTTCAAACCACGCCACCATAGTTTCGTAAGTCTCTGCCCGGAATACCCAGGTGTGGCCACGGTGCATGGATCCAGCCTGACGGCCTTTGATAACGAACTTGTGGGAGGAACTTCCGGGCTGGGAACGAGAACCAAGCTTCTGGTCTGGCAGATACAAGGACATGACCGGAGGCTGAGTGTAGATGCGATCGGCCGATTTGAACTCGTGGATGTGCGTAGGAGACAGAACATACCTGCAAACGGTTAGACGAAGTGGGTTCACAGGAATAGGTTGCTTACCAGCCTGGCGTATAGGACTTGAGATACTTGCTCTTCCGCTCAAGCATGCCTGCCCTGACTTCGGTGGTAGCTGGGTGGTATTTTCCGGGGTACTGTATGTCTTCCAGTCTGCGCAGCGGCATATCTGGGTTGACGAAGTGAGGGTCGCTCCTCACAAACCTGCTCCACTCGAGATCGCGTGGCATCGCAATCGGACCATTGCGCAACTTCTCCACCGTGTTGTACTGCTCGTCGGCATCGCGCTTCAAGATGCTAGCAAGAGCATTGTAGGCCTTCTGCACTTCACCAACAACGATGGACTCGAGTTCGCGGCCAGAGTTTTCAAGGTTGAGGTACGCCTGTTTGCGTTAGTTATGAGTAGCCTATATGAGCCTGACGACTTACTCTGTGAAGATAATTCTCCTCGTCAATCTGCCTCTCGACTTGGCGCTCGACGCCCAGACGAACGACATAGGGATCTCCCTTGCCCGCGACAGCGGTGGGGTCAGAATCGACCAGGGCCAATGCCTCCTCAAGTGCTGTCACGCACTTCCTCGTAGTCTCCTTTTCCTTCTCGACGTTGTTCTTGAAGTCGCCTGAAAGCGATTTTATCTCCTTGATCTTTTGTGCAAGATCGGCTCTGAGGCCGCTGAGCTGATTGATAACGTCTGCCTCAACGTCTCGCGCCTTGTTGGCCTCAAGAATGGCCTGCTTGTGGAAGTCGCGAAGAATACGGTTGGCGTCATTGAGGCCTCCCTCCACGAGAAGAGCAGCGGGCGCATTGGTGTTGTTGATCACGTTGGACACTTTGAGCAGCGACTTGGCGCGGTGTTCGTAGGAGGCTGCCACCTCGCGGAAGTAGGTGATGAGGTCTTTGAGGAACTTGCGCCAGGCTATCGGATGTCAGTGAGTTAGACAGGACAGTCACATGCGCCAACCTACTCTGGAACCGGTCTGCCAGTATCTCGGTGGGGGTGCCCTTGGTAGGCACGGGTGTGTAGAAGACACTGTCCTCGCGGTCGTAGCCGCGCTCTTGGTCGTCAATGGTCACGCCCCTGATGGATCCGGCATGCATTGATTTCCTGCTCCCGCTGCGCTTCATGCTTCCCGTCCTCTTGACTGAGCTTTTCTTCTTGAGGGTTCCACTGCGCGAAGGCGTTGCGCCCTGGTTCAGCGTGGAGGAGCGCGAGGAGGAGCGCTGGTGCATGTCACCGTCAAGGACAGACGAGCCCCGTGTGCGCGCATCGAAATCCTCCTCGAACCTCCCTAGGCGCGAGCGGTCATGTTGCGCGCCTGCTGGCGAGTTTGCAAAGTCGTTCACAGAGGAACTGCCATAACCACGGCTGATGTGGGCAGGGTCGTCTATGTGCGGTACGGGGTCGTACGAGGCTGAAGGGGTCACTGGTCGCTGCATCGCCATGTTGGGTGCTGGTCAGGCTCACTGCCTGGTCGTGAATACTGGCTGCAACGGTAAGGTAGACCCTGACGAATATATGTTAGGAGACGGTTCAGTTGGCAAACAACCCTGAGCCGCCGTCGCTGTGGCTGGCGATGACGTGTGGAGTCGCGCTAAGGGGTGAGCTGCCTCGGAGGGGTCGACGCGCAGATTGCGAGCGACGAATGGAGAATGGCGCCGTAGATCAGTACTTACAATTCTGTCCGGAGCCGCTGGAATTTTGCGTGTGCCTGGGGATGCTTGTGGTATCAAGAGGCAAACGTCAGGTTTATGAGTATTGAACAAGAGCCGTTCAACACCTTCCGGACATGATCGTCATCGTGCAGCAGTGCCCGACCCTTGAATTGTCTTAGTCTGTGGCGCGGCTGCTGCTGTCCGCGTAGCATTGAAGGGAACATGACATCACCTAGGCATCTTGGTGAGCCTCTTCAGTGCCGCGAAGCCGCCGTTGACGGCCTATCATGACTTGCTTGTACTTCCATCCATTGCGCCGTTGGGTAGCCCCGTCGCGTCGATTGTCCTAGCAGCTGTCATGCGCGGGCCTGCGGAACACGTAGGCGAGCACAAGAGCATCTTCGTCGTTGCCAACTTCTTCATCTTGAGAGTTTTAGTTTCGATAGAGCGTCTCGGTGACTCTTCAGCTGCATCGTCCGTCGCCACATCCATTGCCGCTGGCCAAACACGTGGAGACTCTATGTGGGGAGAAAATCAGCCGAACGTGCCGGCCCAATTCTGATTTGCATTCATCCTTCCGCAGATCAGTGCAGCAAGGCGGCGATGCCGACATCCTTCCTCGACTTTGCTGCAACTTGCTCCTGGGACCCAATTCAATTTTTTCAGGGGTCCTTTCGCGCCCGACCCTCTGAGACTAAGCCCGGTAGTATCTCTAGCCGACCACGGAATACTCCAGGTCACGTTGAACAATCAACCAAGGAACATATTGGGTTGTCGTCATCGGTTGCTTCACCAGCGTCGCTTGAGAGGTAGGGAGAGAAACTAAACACCTCTTTAGGGCAGAGTACTGCTTCCTACTACAACAAGGTGTATCAGAGCTATACAGACATAGATAGAGAACCTAGAAGTCTACAATGCTATTGATTTTTATAAGCTCAATTCTTAGGAGCTAATGTAAGCCGTAAGGTAGAGCTTGTTATCTCTATACCTGTTCGGTTCGTCTCTTGTATGGAGTGAGTAATTGCTGTTTTTCCACCTGCCCGACAATCTTGACTATTCAGATTGACCGAAGGCCAGAATTCAAACATACAGGACCGCCCATCATCGTCGGACTGCTTGACTACCAGGCAATAGTTAAAAATCCTCAAAAGCGCATGTGATGTGTGTACATAATATTGTATTACATCTTACTACATCAGACCTCAATGTTTCCCCAGACAGCTGACCTTACAAAACCCCACTCATCGTCGACCCGTAGCTGGGATGCATAATTCCACATAATACGTGCCTGGAAAAGGCGGATTCTGACTTGGCCGTTACACCGTGCCAGTTGCGGGAGAAATGGTCCAGACAAGATGGCTTGCGAGACTTTACCGAATTATCTACACATTATATCAGTCATAAGGCACAACAATATCCGGATAGACAGGAGATCGGTAGACGTCAAAGGCTTCAAGCAAGCTTGTCTATTTCGCGGTGTTTTGTTCTACTTCTCCACTTGTGAACTAGTAGTCCATGAGTACTTATTGCTTCCTAATCTTAAGGAGGCATGTTGAGCGATGACGGGATGTCTGACTCTTTGATGTCTAATGCTCTCTCGCCAACGACTGCTTAGGACCAGAGCTCGTCCATAACGCCATTTATCGATGGCCATGTGGAGGGATGTCTCTGGAGAATTGGTATCTTGAAGGGCCGAGATTGCGATACATGGCTGAGTACGGCATCTTGGAACTTGGCCGTCATTGGATCTCGTGATGCTGCAAGCTCTGGTAGTACTCTCTTGACCAAGCTCTTGATGTGATCTGCTGGCAGTGGTCGTCGTTTCGCTGTAGAAGCGACTGACGAAGATTGGGATTTGCCGCCTACAATACTAAACTACTGCTTTGGCAACAATCGTGGAAACTCATGTAGCCTTCTGGGCGGCACCCTAGGAAACAACGACCAGATTCATCACTCTCCGCTTTTCGGTGGCGATGCTGGGTGACAGCACTCCAGCTTCCAGGCTGCAGTAGTGGGAAATGGCTTATGCTCCTTCTGGAAGTGTTACGTGTATCGTCGGCTTCTGCTTTTCTGAAACAAGGTTGTCGCGTTCTGCTTCTTCGCGGCGAGGTGAAGCGAAAACATCTTAGCCTTAGGGAGGTATCCTTAGAACATGGGCTGGCAGGGCGACCTCGGGAGTATAGGAGCTATGTCACGACTGGAATCTTGACAGGATGCAAAGTTACGAGTAGAAATCGTATGATAGGACTACAGCGCAACAAGGTCAGGTTTGTTTATAGTCGAGTCAGGTTGAGTCGCATGGCTGAGCGGCGTGACGGTTGCGAAAGTACTGTACCTAGTAGCAAAGGGTGCGCATTGTCGGGATAGTAGCCCATAATACTCTGTACATGTGCGTAGGATAGTAGCGAATATGAAGTTTTACATTGATCAAGCTGTGATGATGATTTTGGTTGACGCAGGAAGAATCCAAGGTTCCAAGGTTGGCTTAGGGTACCTAGGTAGGACATTCGGCACAAGCACAGGAGATTTTTCGAAAGCTGGGGCAGACCACTTTTTCCAGCGCGATTTAAATGTCAGCACACTGTATTTTGGTACAGTTAGGAGATGAGTCGCATCAATGTCTTGGAGTATGAGAGCAATAGGACGTCTGATGTGTGATGTTAGATGTTGAGGAGATGTCGAGGTTGCGCGCTTGGTAGGTAGGTGTGTTGAGTGGGGCCTTTGGGCCTTCACCCCATTATATTTCTCCAACACCCCAACATGAGAAGTAACTTTTGGTGTAACATATATACAGAATTTGAAGGTGATTTGAATGAAACAACTTTGGAGGTGTCTAAAGATTAGTTCTGACGCTCAGGAGGTCACTGTTCCGCCACACCACCAAAAATCGACCAAAACCTCCCAAAGAGCTTCACCAACCAATACAGACCACTCCAGATACCACAGAACAGCAAAAACAAAGCGACGTGGGCAGGATTCGAACCTGCGCGCCCGAAGGCATATGATATCTAATAGATAAATCGTTCGAGTCATACCCATTAACCACTCTGGCACCACGCCTTGTGTTGTGGTCACTTGATGAAAACCAAAGACAAACCAAAAAATATAATGAGAATAACAAAAAGAGAACGACGACAATGGCTTCGCAGATACTTCGAATGTATATTGGCAGATCCCTTAGCCGGACGCGGGGACATGGTCAGCAAATCTCGCCCAACCGGGAGAGAAGCCGAGCTTGGCCGGACCCCTGAACAACACCCCCTTGCAAAATTCATTGCAGTCCATTAATATTTTTATCTTGTCGCTTCTCAATTGGGGCGAATCATCAGATGTTAAGGCTGTTTAGATATGCATGCTATCACCTGCGTACTATAAGGTAAATGTATCCAACATTGCCAGTTCTACACAGTTTGTTTCTCCTTCTCGCTTTATCTTTCTCGGGCTCGCCTGTCGCTAGCTTCTGCACTACTTAAGCAAAGTCCTGTCTTCCATGGTTGTCAATACTAAGCCCTGGAGGTACCTTAAGTTGATCGAGTTTTATGTTCGAACAGCTCACAATGCCTCACTCGAATCAGGGGACTAGAATCGCAATGTACAGGTGAACGCACCGTATAATGACTCGAGCAGAGAGTGTACTGCCTGCTGAACAAACCATGTTGTTCGTCCTCGATTCGAGATTGCGGTAGCTCATCCACCAGCACAGGCGCCTGCACACAACCACAACCACAGCCACAATACACAACACCATCGCCCAACGTCGTTCTCCCAGGACGATACAAATTGGGCATTACTATCCTGAAACTCTCTCAACATTTCCCAACCGTGTATACGTAGAAAGCTACTTGAGTATGAAGATGCTCGCGAAATCCACCCAAATGCCACCCGGGACGCTATATCAGGGCCTTAAGTCTCCATTGATCAACCAAGGTCCTAACGTTACCTCCAACCCCCCAGAGTACCAACCCCCCATTCTCGCACTTCCTAACATTGCAGCACCGCAGGGCCAGGAATCTTGTATGGCGTTCCGTTTCCCTTGGGCTGACCCTGAGCATTATAGATGCTGAGTTTGATGCCTGCATCGTCCGCCTTGTAGGCACCAGGGAAGCTGACCGTATTTCCGATCTTCGATCCCGATCCGGAGACGTTAATCTGCGCGCAGCCCATGTAGAACTGCGCACCACCAGTCGTGCTAGCGCTGTGCAATGCGATCATCTCAGCCCTGAGAAGATACTGACCGGGCGCAACACAAGATGGCATTGTCATCTCCGTCCATCCACCATTGTTTATCATTCTGTCGACACCTAATAGGCGCGTATACAAAGTCAGTGCATTTCTCACGTGTATTTTGCACAGAGGTGTCGCTTACCCCAGTTCCCCGAGCTGTCGAGGCCGTCTTCAGAGACTTTGAACCATTGGAGGCCAGAGGGGGAGGCAGAGGCAGCATTTGAGACCTTTGCCATGTAGAAGATAGCCGGACCCTTGTGAGATTTGGCGATTGGGTGGTCGGGGTCGTTTGCGAATCTTGGAGGAATTAGTAAAATGTTGGTGAGAAGATTAGGACGACAAGAACATACTGTGCTCCGCCGACAACATGACCCCAGTTGATACCAACCTTGTCTCCAGGCTTGACGTCAATGACCTTGCTGGAGGAAGAAGCACCAGAATTGCAAGCAATGTTACCATCATTGACGTTCGTGATGGGGTTGTTGGAAGGCGCAACGCGGATACCATTGCCTTGACCAAGGTCCTGTCCGTTAATCCTGACACGCTGAGCAATTGTATGTGCTGAC